TGGCATTAGCTTTCATGAACTACAGTCCACTTCATTGGGTGCATGAAATGTTATAGTGCATTACGTGCAATATAATACTGATGAAACAAACATGATATAACAAAGTGGAAATGAACACTTATGCACAAAATGGACATGGAGATGTGCAATTGCTGCTAAACAAGGCAAAAGGCTGCTGAGCACAGCAAATGAAAGAAGTGCCTTTTAAAGCATTGGCGGTTTTCTCCACTATCTCAATTATTAAATTACTTTCAGTAGGGCAATCATAGTAAAAACACAACTGAGAATTATACTGGCAAAAAAAATGGCAACAAATGAAGGTAAAATATAATGAATGAATTTTGTTTTGTTTTATAGTTCAGAAAGGTGAAGCATAAAAGACTATAGTATGCAGGAAGAAGAAATAAAGGTATTACCAGTTAAAATAATTGTAAGCAGCAACTAAGAGAGGAGCCTGAGAATTAAAGAAATACAAATGCCAGTTTGTTAAAGAAACATTAAATAGATTAATTTTTCTCAAGTACGGAGAGAAACATTCAGATATGAAATTTTTTTTAAAAAGGCATTCAAATGTTATGAAGTGAGAAATATAAGCAGTGGTAAGTCCCTGCTGATACTGATTTTGATGTGTGCTATTTTGCAGAGTATAAAGACTGGTGATAGAAGTACAAGCCTCTTCTCCACCCACCCCCATCACTGCATGATCAAGAATGCATTAGCCACATGGATAGTCACTAAAATACACAATCACAATTCAGAAAACTTAAATATGCTTTATATGAACATGATGGCAAATGACAATTAGGACTTAGCTAATAAGTCTGGCAATAGCAGGATAATTATCAGCTATAAGTATCATTAAGAAAGGAATAATATAACAGAATCAGCTAGGAAACTACTGCCAATTTTCATCAACTATCGCAATACAATTCAACAGGAGGCAGCTAAAAGGTGTTCAAAGACCACTAGGGCTGCCCAAACTTGAAATACATGAGATTTGTATATAAAGCAGATCTTTGTTGTGGCCACCTCAGACTCCGGAGAGAAATTAACAGTCAAGAGCATTAGAAGATGAGCCACAGAATCATCCTTAGCCAAAATTTGAATCCTGGCAGGTGGTATGAACCAGATCGTATCTCTTCCACTGTTCTGGTTCTGAACTGACACATCTTCCCCTGACTCTTAAGAAGTCATGCTATTACTGTGGGTAGGTGAGCTGAGTACTGCTGGAGTGCTAGAGTATATAAACATAGTCCTTGAGAGTAGCAACTTCCTCATGAGTTGCCACTATGGAGAAGAGCTAGTAAATACCAGCTGATTCTGATAGACTTAGCTGTCTAGACCATAAAGGCACATAAAGTAAAATAGATCAGATTGCTAGAAACCCATTCATGACCTCCCACCTGGTTGCCCCATATCCAGAACCTTCAAATTTACTCTGCTTACTAGGACTTCTTGACTTAGCCTGAAATACAACCATGCTTTTCACCTAATCTCTTTAACTACAATATAGTACTTTTGCACTTCCTTTACATAAAACTGGAATATTCTTTTGCCTGCAGTCTTTCTGTGAACTCATTTGCATGCTCAGTCTTGGTCAACTCAAGTTCTCTCTCTCTCTTTTCAAGTCTGCACAGAATTCTGACTTACAAGAATTTCTGTTTACATCCTCCATGTAATCTTCAAAAAGATAACATATGAACATCAGCATAATATCCCACCTGTTTCCACAATGCTGTTCCCTGCATAATAGCAGAAATAGACAAGATTTTTTATTTTATTTTAAGGATACTACTCATGCCAGCACTGTACTCCCAATGGAGGGCAATTTTGGATAACAAACATGTTCCTGTACAACACTGGAAAAACCTCTTCCTTTTCTAATGGGTACTGGGTAAGAATTAAAATGTCTTATACAATAAATTTCATTTTAAGAGTTTCACTGGAGGGATGAAGGGGTGTCCGATATTCCCAAAATTTCAGTGAAGCAAATAACAGGAATACAAATGGCACAAACTACAGGTAGTCCTCAAGTTATGATAGTAATTAGGACTGGAATTTCCATCACATCACATGACCGCATCACTTAGTGATGGCAATTCCAGCACTCCCTGTTGCTGTTGTTAACTGAATTCCACCTATCATTAGCCAAGAACCCAACTGAATCCAAGCCATTCCGGACTTGATCCCTCCCAGCCAAGCCTCGGTTCTTCCAAGTTAAGGGACTGCCTCCACTTCAACTCCCTCCAACTGCCTATTCCCCCCCATCTCTGCCCTTTTGGCAGCCCTGCACCCTACCTTACGGGGTGGCAAGCAGCCTGAGAACCATGCAGCTCTGGAGCTGCTTGCCACGCTGTGGCTCGGGGGCTTCTTGGCATGCCCAGCTCTGGGGCCGCAAGAAGCCCCTAAGTCACAGCATAGCAGGAAGCCACAGCCACCCTTGGAAGCCTCAGCCACTCCAGCAGCACAGTGCAAATCTGCAGCACCCCAGGAAGCTCCAGCTGCCCCGACAGTGTGGCTCAAAGCTGCAGCCACCCTGGGAAGCCTCAGTCTCCCCAGCCCAGTCCCAGCCACAGTTGCCCTCACCACCCTGCACTCCGAGGCCCCTGACACCCTGCGCTCAGCTTCCCCAGCTGACCTTTGCCACCTTCTTGCTCCTGCTGCTGACAAGGTGTTCCCGGCCTGGTCCTTTGCGAGGCAGCTACTGGCAATATGAGGCCATCTTCTCCAGGTCTCACAAGGAAACTGCTGTGCATGACCTTGTGAAGAAAGCCCCATGAAGCCAGCATGCTTGGTCAGCAGTGTGAGCAAGAAGACACCAAATGTTGGCTAGAGTGGCAGGGGCTGTAGAGTGCAGAGGGCCAAAAGGGCATAGATGGGCGAGATAGGTAGGTGGGGGGAGTTTAAGCACTTCTGTATCATAAGTGTGGGCGGGCTGCCAAGCACCTGAATTTTGATCATGTGATCATAGGGGTGCTGCAACGGCCATAACTTCAGGGTCCAGTCATAAGTCCCTTTGTTCAGCACCACTGTAACTTCAAAGAGTCGCTGAACAAATGGTTGTTAAGCAAGGAATTTTGTCCACTGAAGTCTGTTGCATCAAGGACTAAAAAAGTTGAAGTTTTACTATAAACAGTGAATTTCAATATATATCTATATAAGTACTTGAAACTCTATAGAAATATTTCTGACATATGCTACCTCAGTTTCAGAAATCATTCTATTCTTCAAAATGAATATATGTATAAAATTAAAATATATTAATATTCAGCAATACAAAATCGGGTTTCTCTTTGTCCATCTATTATAGCCTGTGTTCAAAATTTTTAAACTAAACATATTTTAACACTGAGCTAAAATCAAGTGATTTAATGTATAACATATATTGAAGTTAGATTATATTGGCTGTTATACAGTAAGATCAACCACTTACTAAAGGGAAATATTGTTTTGCTATTCCTAATAATTTTAAAAGTTATATATCAGGTTAACTTTTTGCAAAATTATACATTTCCTCTCAATAATTTTTGCATCAGCATATACAACAGCAAAAACAAATATTCAGTATAACTCAATCCTGATATAGTAGACATTCCATAGGACATAACAGTTCCCCCTCCCGGCTGACATGTACACAAAATGAATTCAGCATTCAAGACCAGCCAATGTGCTTACCTCTCATATCTTTATTTAGCTGATTCCCTCTAATTGGCACATAACACAAGCAATACACTCACCACTGATCTGCTTTAAAGTACAGGCAGTCCTCACTTAATAACCATTCATGTAACGACAGTTTGAAGTTACAACGGCCTCAGAAAAAATGCTTTACTACCTATACTTGCAATTACAACCATCACAAACTGTCACACCACCTCTTGTGGTCACGTGATTGCAGTCTGTGACTTCTTTTACAACAGTCGTTAAGCGAATCATATGGTTGTTAAGCAAATTCCAGCAAAAAACGTCCATGGGGAAGCTGGGTTCACTTAACGACCACGTGATTTGCTTTAATGACCATATGATTTGCTTAACAACCACAGTGATTTGCTTTATGGCTGTTGTAAAAATGGTCATAAAATTGAGTCCAGTCATGTGGTGACTTGCTTAACAACTGCCCCGCTTAACAACCAATTTTCTGGGCTCTATTGTGGTCATTAAGTGAGGACTACCTATAGTCCTTATTGAATGACCACTCGTTCAGCAACCATTTGAAGTTACGACAGTGCTGAATGAGGGGGACTTACAACTGGTCCTTATAGTTGCAGCTGTTGCAGCATCCCCATGGCCACGTGATTGCAATTTAGGTGCCTGCCAACCAGCTCACAATTATGACGGTCACAGCATCCTGCAGTCACATGATCACCATTTGTGACTTTCACTGCTAGCTTCCAAAAAGCAAAGTCAACAGGAAGCCAGCAGGAGGTTGCAAAAGGCGATCACATGACTGTGGGACATTATGACCACATGGGGTTCACCTAATGACATCAACTGGGACTGCCGCAATTGCTGTCGTAAGTCAGCATGGTCATGTGACGTCATGCTTTACAACCGTGTCACTTAATGGAGTTGCCAGTCCCAATTACCATTGTTTAAGCAAGGACTATCTGTATTACCAAGATCATCACTGCAATTGTACATAACACTCTACTGTCACCAGAATATACAGCAAGAGAGACATATCAAGATCTCTGTTTGTACGATGATAGCTGCAGCTGAAATAAGCAAACTTATATTGTAACAAAGGCAATACAGCTGTTATTTATTACTGGCATCATATAAAGTTATATAACAGACTTTTATTTTCTCTCCTGGCCACTTATCTAATCCTGGTAAAAGCCTCAACTTTGCTTCAAAGAAGCTTTCAATCTTTTGGAGCAGATCTGAAGGGGGGAGAAGAGTAAAGAATCCATACCACTAGCAGATGCTCTTCCACTGGGGACACATTATATTTGATCTTTAAAACTAACAACAACAATAACAACAACAACAACAAATACCTTTGAAGATTTCAAGTTCTTTCCTGTAAAAGAAAAAGAAAAAAACATAATGTATATCACAGATTTAATTGTGCAAAACGTGTTCTTGCAGGCACTAGAAAAAAGTTATAAAGAAGTTGAAGATGTACACAACTTAAGAATCCAGGGTTTCATGTAGCCCCTGAAAGAGTTAAAGTGGCCCATATAGTTCCTTGAAACACTGGCAGCAAATCCTAATTTTTACTTAATATTACAATAATAAATTTTACATTCAATGAAAATTTCCATTAAATCATTTTTTCCTCCTGGTTTGTGGCTCTTAGGTTATCATCCAAAGGTCAGCAATGCCAATAAAGGTTTGAATTGAATTGAACTGAATTGAATCCAAAGGTCAAGTGCAATTCTCATTCCAAAAAGGATGCATGCACCCCTTTACAGGATTAGAATTTTTTAAGAGATATTAGGGATGTACAAAACTCACCATGTCTGGGAACGCCAGAAAATTCTGCTTTTCTTCTAGAATGCAGCTCTGAAACAGCTGGATCTGCATGTTCCAGAAGAAAAAGACATTCAAGTGCTCCCTGGAACTTTCCATCTCTGTAATGGTGGGTTTTGCAAATTTCTACCTAGTTATTATCCAGAGCAAACTCATTTGAAGCCTAAATATCAGTGTCTATAGATGGTAATTATTTTTGCAGAATAGCTAATCTGCATATTTATTTAAGTTTACACAACTGACAAACGTGATCTCAAAAGTATGCTATCAATTCTTGCAACCATTAATATGAAGTCAAAAGGTAGCAACAAAACCTTAGGGTTTTGTAATTACTTTGTATGGTTTTATTTCTGGGAATAGGTGATTTATTCTGTTCCTGCTCTCTTAATAATTTTTTTAAAAACTGTTGTTTCCCTTAAAAAATCTCAAATGATTTACATGGAAATGTATTCCTCTGATAATGAAGTTGGCCATGGATCTTAAAAACATTTATTTATTTAAAAGCATGCTTATGCTATTCTTTTTATTCTAAAAAAAGTTCTGAGAATAACAATCAAGAAAAAATCCTGGACAGAAGTTTGCAAAAATATTTTCTAATGTTCAAATATACATTGCTTTTCTTAATTTATGTATGGAAAATAGGACAACCCCAATTAATTTGGAAAAATACATTAAATTTCATTATGCATTCATAGATAGGCATTATCCATGCAATGACACACAAACAAGTATGCTTGCTTGACTTAGCCTATTACAGTTTCATGGTAAATAAAGCATTCTCACACACACTAAAAAAATTCAAACCTTACAAAAATACATCCTGAAAAGTTCACTGGTGGTTTTTTTAAAAACTGCTCTCTGTTCTAGATGTATGTATAGGAACAGAATAGTTTCCCACTCAACACGAACAGCCGCTGATCATGGAATTTACTGGTAGCCATAGGGAATAATCAATAATCAAGAGATATATTCCGGACTGGAAAGTAATTTAGTGTCTGGTATATTTAGCTAGGCTGTAGGAGGTATCCAGGAGGCCAAATCAAATAAGCAGGCAGAGATATATTAATGAACACAAAAGGGAGAGCTTCAGCTTAATTTCATCAGCATCTAGGTGACTCTGAAAGTCACAGGATTCAATTATCCAAGAATAGAGAACAAAAATAAAATAAAAAGAATGAAGAACCCCAACAGGTTTGCAACACAGAAGAGAAAAGCAGGGAAGTTTCCATTAATGGAGACACTAATTTAACAATCTGAGAAACTGGAGTGGAGTCAAAACAGCCATGAAAATCTACCAACAATCAATATTACTAAAGGCAGAAGACATGTTGAGAAGGATCTGGATACAAAGGATATTTGGATATTGATAAGAAAAAAGCTGAGAGAGTATGTCAGTGGATTTATTTTATTTATTGTATATGTAATTTACTTTCCTATATTCTGAAGGTAAGTAAATTGTTAGTTTTTATGTATTTTTTTCTATCTATTTTTCATTAGAGACAGGAATAATCTTCCGTTCAGAATAAGCTTCCTTTTGGCTAAATATGATATTTTGGAGTCAAACATATCAGAACAGATATGATTGTGCACAATCAAAAATCAACATGAATGTTAATTTTTAACAACACTGGTCAAATAAATATTTAAAACAAGTCTGTATTCACAATGTTTAAGCTCACAGTTCCCAGACAGCGTGCTGCAGTGCCCTGTGGCACCACAGCAAATTCACAGAGGCACTGTGGGATATTTTGCTACTTAAAAAATGGAATTGTTAGTGAGTTCACAGCAGCACCCCAGGGTGCCGTGGTGCACAGTTTGGGAGCCAGCAGAGGTGCTGTAACCAAAAAAGTTTCAAAATGCCTGACTTAAACCAAAGAGAGCAGATTTTCATTTCTATATAAATGGTATTGTGCTCTGGAAAAGTTTTAACTGTATAATACCATCATGCTTCAAGACAATTCCTTTTGACAGATAAGAATAAGTAATAAAATAATAAATATAATAAATAATAATAAAAATAATCTCTTTTAAGTGAAATTTGGAACACACTACTGGTTCTTAGTTTACTTAAATAGCATATCATTCAACAATCTTAATTTCTTAATCTTAGCATATTATTATGAATATGCAATATCGCGATCTGGATGCTTGGCAACCTATTTGCACTTACAACCAGTTGCCAAGCATCCCACGATCATGTGACCACCATTTGCAATTTCCCTGCCGTCTTCCACAGAAGTCAATGAGGAAGCCAGCAGGGAAGATTGCAAGTTGCTGGGATAAGTCTCCTCCACCCACACACCCTCCCCCAGCCCCTGCATTTGCACACCAGCCACTAACACACCCCTGTGCAACCTCCCCAACCTGCAAAGCACCCCTCACTTCCTTGCACCCTCACATACCCTCCCCAACATTCCCTCACACCCTTGCACACCCTCCCTGCGCCAACCTCTCATGCACCCTCACACACCCTCCCCATGCCATGCCTCTCACACACCTCACACCCTCCCCAACTCACGCAATGCCTCTCACGCACTCCCTTGCAACCTTGCACACCCTCTCTGAACCTCCCTCACACCCTCGTGCAACCTCCCCACACCAATTTCTGTAGGTAATCTCTCCTTTGCCTGACCCTTCCCACCTCCCATCCCCCTGCACAGTGGAGAGATTGGAGAGGAAAGACTTTCAAGAAAGTAAGCTGTCTGCATAGCACGCCCAGGGCTCCCAGTTCCGGGCTCCCAGTACAATCTCATTATTTCAATGTGTCAAGAAGAACACACAGTTTACTCTCTTTAAATCCCTTCCGCTCCTTTCTCTCTGCTCTGCAAGGGGAGAAGGGTCAGGCAATGGAGAGATTGCCTAGAGAAATCACTTGCTTTTTTCCTCCCCCCTCTCCCCACAGACTGGAGAGACTGGAAAGAATTTCAGGAGAGTAAGCGGTTTGCGTAGCATGCCCACGGCTCCCAGTCCCAGGCTCCAGTGCAATCACATTGCTTTTGTGTAGAAGACAGTAAGCAGGCACTCAAGCATTCCAAAGGGCAGGGGAGTGGTTAGGAGGCAAACAAAAGCCAAATATGTGAAACCAAGTAGTCTTGTATCTTTCCAGTTGGAAAGCACAATTGTGGTCACATGATTGCCCACTTAGTGACCACTTCACTTAGCGACAGAGTTGCCAGTTCCAAAGAGGGTCGTTAAGTGAGGACTACTGGTAACGAAGGCATCTGAGAAAATATTATAAAGGAACAGAATTGTAGCATTTATTTTCTTTCTTTTTTGTTGTTCAGTCGTTAAGTCATGTCCGACTCTTTGTGACCCCATGAACCATACTGTGCCAGGCCTTCCTGTCCTTCACTGCCTCCCTAAGTTTCCTCAGTTTCATGCTCACTGCTTCAGTGACGCTATCTAACCATCTCATCCTCTGCCATCCCCTTCTCCTTTTGCCTTCAATCTTTCCCAGC